ATGATTTTTTATTTTAAATATTTGAAATTTTTATGTAGATTTATATTTGTTTCTTCCATATATATTATCATGCTTGCGCAAAAAAAATCTGGGCCTGACCCTAGTGAAATAAACGAAGCAACTAGACTCTTTTCTGGTTTAGTGGACCTTGACTATGAGTCTGAATATTATGATCATACGTATTTTAAATATTTGTCTATTAGTAAAGATAATATCGCTCTTCTAGATGCCTATTATCCCAAGGAGATTTATTCAAAATATATAATCTGAGTATCAGTAAAGGGTTTTACAGTTGTTGATCATCCATCCGAAGTTTATAGGATACCTGATACTCATGAATACATCGATGAGAGTCTGCCTCTTCGCCTAGTTCTGGATATCAACACGAGGCAAAAACCTGATACCATAAATCCCAAACACCCTTTCTTAGATGAATATAAAATTTCTCGTAAAGATTTATTATCCAAAATCTTAATTGCCTGTGCTGATATTTTATACTTTGATTTAAAACATCTTGTAACTTTAAATGCTTTCACTTTAGCCAGTTCATCTAATGCCGATAAATGCAGTTGGCATATTGTATATAATTATGCATGTTTTGTTAACTACAGAGACCTTAGAGGATTTGTAGAAAAAGTTGCTGATAGGGTTAAAAAACCATACCCAGAATTTATTGATATTGGGCTATACAAATCTTGTTTTAGTCTTCGGCTTCTTGGATCGGCAAAGGGAGATAGAATTAAAAGACCTGCAGTTTCTTCAGTTAAAAAAGAGTATCGCAAGCTAGAGAATTATTTAGTTCAATCTAAATCTGATTATTCTGAAATCTGGCCTCGAACTTTTTCTTCTGAGAAGCCAGAGAGAGAGGAGAAATTCCAGCCTATCGAAGATGAAACCGCCTTAAGCAAGGGAGCTAGTCTAGTTATAGCAAAATATGGATGGCTTGAGATCAGAAAAATTGAAAAGAGAGTTGTTAACTTTCAAGCGAAGTTACTAGAAGTATGTCCTATTAGTAATATCAAACATGAAAGAGATCAGTTATATAGTTTTCTTCGAAGTGATGGGTGCTTTGTATTTAGATGTTATCAGCAGAAAAACTATAAACCAGATCATAAGGGAATGGCATTTGGGGAAGCATCAGATATAATCAGGCTAAAAGAAAGACCTAAATGGGGATTAAATGACAGATTAATTAATATTGTATAAAATCTACGTTTACTCACTAAATTATCTGGAAAAAAAATTAATGTAAAGAGATGGAAGAAGCTCCAGAAACTTATCCAGACTTCTTAAGTTCTGTATGTAGTACTACTCTTATCCATTCACCTGTAGGTACTGGTAAAACAAAAGCTTTAAAAGGAACTCTCAACTCTTTAGCTAGAAATAGAGAAAATTTGACTTGCTTTATCTGAGTTTCATATCACAAAACTCTTAGCAATGAGATCAAATCTAAAGTTGAAATATTACAGAATTTGGATCTTCGTGTATGCCAATATCAAGAAGTTGAAGATAGTTTATCTATAAGTGATTGGGATGTTATTATCATTCAGGTTAAAAGTACACATCGTATTGAACTTCATGAAAGGTGACCATATGTAGTTATTTTAGATGAAGTCAATGCGATCATGTGCCAAATGTCTAGTGGAATCCATGCACGAGAATCTGAAAATGCTATGCGAGATTTATTAAAGTTAGCTATCCATGTTGTAGCTATGGATGCTTTTGCGAATGACTCTACTTTAGCTTTCTTAAAACAGTATTGAGGTAATGATATACGAATTTTTGATAATAAATATCAACCACGCATAGATGAAACTGTTAAGATTCTTTATAATCCGGAAAAGGGTTCAGAAGCTATGAGAAGGGGTCTTAATATGCTTCGAGAAGGTAAGCATGTTGCTTTTGCAATAACATCATGTAAAAAAGCCCGAGCTTTGGCAAACCAAGCTTCCACATTGCAAAAACCAGATAGTTTATCTATTTTAACACGTGTTTATTTTGGCCAAATGGACGGAATACAATGACAAGAGGATTTTGCTAATATTAATGCTATCTGGAGTTCTCTTGACTGCGTGATTTACACAAGTACTGTAGAGGCTGGCATCTCCTTTGAAATCTCTAATCATTTTGATGCCATTATAGAGATTAGCAATATTAAAACAGGAGTACATGTCGAAGCTTTTGCACAGATGCTTTACTGAATTCGGGATTGTCCACAACGTATCATTTCTTTATATCATAGTAAAAGTCTTCCAAAGTATTCCAAGAGCCAAATCGTAATCTTATTCGTGCTGAACTTTCTGCTTTAAGGCCTATTGATTTACCAATAGCAGTAAAAAGACATCGGGAATGGGATAAAATTGCTGATTGTTATGCTTTTGATGCATCTCTAGCAGTTGAAACGTATATTGAAGCTGAATATCAGAGATGCTTATCAGCTAAATACTTTTCTGAAATTCTTTGCAGTCTTGTTTCTAGTACAGGAGCTTCACTTGAGATTATTTCTGCAGAAGGTACCATAGCTGATAGGAAAATGGTTTCTAATACTATTAAAGCAGTTAAAGAAAATATTAAAGGTTCTGATACAGAATTAATAGCCAATGCATCTGATATCACCCCAGATAATGCTGAAGTTCTTAAACAAATTTCTACACGCTCCTTTGCCAATAATATGATATTGCAATGATACTATTTGTGGAGAATATATGCTTCAGGAGATATCGGAGATAAGGATGATAATCAGGACTGGGGCATGGATGATGCCAAATAGATTAATCTATACAATACCAGTTTTGTAAAAAAATTTAATAATACTGAACCTTTACAACATTTTAGAAGACTGGCATATTTCCGAAGGCAAGGTTCAGATGCAATAAAAACCTTAAAAGGGTTAAAAACTAAAGAAGCTATACAGTGGGAGAAATCGCATAATTCCTCAGATCCT